CAGCATAGAATTGGGGCAAAGGTTGACAGCATCCATGCTTTAGTTGATTGAAGTCACAAGGGTCAGAAAAGGTCAACATTATCATCCCTTAGATTACAGTTGATCTGGTGGTTGAGTGCTAGAGGGGGGTTTAAATTCTGAAAAACAGCTTAAGGAAGTGCTTCAGGCTAATCTTTATCATGGAAACAGAACTGGGAGTCTTTATAACTGATTTATTATCTTTGCTATTGTTACTCCTTAAGAGCATTATTACTGAGACCTGTTCAAGGGTAATCATTGTGGCCAGGCTTAGATTCCCAAATGACTTAGGCCAAAAATGGCTTCTCTTATGTCAAGAAAGCCATGCCTGGTCCTTCTTCTCTGGGTACCGCCTACCCTATCTGCTTACAGTTACTGCTTCTTAGGCTTTCTGTTTTTCCAAAGTTCCTAGAAAATTCACTTGTTTTCTAATCTTTTTTTTAAAGTTGGTTATGGAGATGGGAGTGGATGTCCTTGTAGGCCCTGAAAATACAACATAAATGATCCTTTTAAGTTCTGTCCTGCTATAAACCTTATTTTTCTTTTTTTGTACAGTTTTTATGATTTTTGTGTGTATGTGTGTGTACATTATCTCATTGTTTCTAACGGCTACTATAGTTCCATAGTGTGTACTTCTTTCACATTTTCTTGTATCCGCAGTACTCTCTTACCATGGATATTGGCTTCAGCTTTCAGCTATCTCCAGCAAAGCTGCCCTTAACATCCTATTATCAATCATTGTGAGAATGTCTCTGGAATGCTTATGTAAGGGCAAGATTGCTGGGTCATAGGTATAAGCACTTTATTTGAGCAAGTGCTGCTAGATTTTTCTCCAAAATAGTCCTGTCTATACTCTATCAATAGTCCTGTCTATATTCTATGCCCCCATGTCCCTGCTAACTCTTTTCAGTATTCAACATTCTAATCTTTGCCATATATGCACAGTATAAAGTGAATAATTTGAATGTGAGCATTTATTCATGTCTGTAGCCATTTTGGTTTCTCTTTATGTGAGTTTCATTTTTCTGTGCTTTACTGACTTTTCTAATTTGTCCTGACTTTTGGGGGGGGGGTGTTATCAACTTGCAGGAGTTCACTGTGTATTCCAATTATCAGTCCCTTGTCATGTGTGGATATTGGAAATATCTGTTTCTACTCTGTAGCCTGTCAGTTAAACATAACTCTTAATTTTTATGTAAGGAAATCTATCAGTCTTTTTTTTCCTTATGGTTTATGTTTTTGAAATTTTATTTAAGAAATAAATCCTTTTCTATCATTAGACCACAAAAAAATTCCCACCATTTTCTTCTATTAGCTTCATAGTTTTACCTTTCACATTGAAGCCTTTTAGGCTTCTGGAGTCAGTTATACAGTGTGTAATAGTTGTTATAACATTCACTTATCCAACACATTTTAATAGAGTGCCTACAAAGGGAGAGGCAGTTCAAAGTTCTTTGTGTATATCTGTGAACAAATACCCCTTCCCAGGTGAGCTTGTGTTGTCCTACAAGGATAGTTCCTATTGGGTCACCACCTCCTGTTTTGCTCTAGTGCTCAGGATGAATTCCACAGTTTTACACATAGTATCTGTTAAGAAATAGGCTTTATGGGGAAAGGGAAGACTTACTAGGCCAAGGTCAGCAAGAAAAGAAAACAAAAGCCCTTCATTCTTTCATCATCCCAACCAAAATCTGCTGGGGCCTAGGCATTCTGCTGGATGTGCATGATGTGTATCTATTTCAGTGGAGAGCCCCACCCTCTTATTATGCTTTCTTATTGTAGGGGAGCTGTGAGAGCAACCTTAATAATGTGGGGAAAGTTAGATCATTTTTGTGCTAGGCAGTCTAGATTTGGATGCCAGCGATTTATAGACTAAGTTGTCAGAAAACCAGCTCCCCAGCATTTGGAGATGTTTGGACCTGAGGAGAGTTAACAATCCTTTTTTAAAGTGGGAAAGAAGACTGTGTTAGTTTCGCACAGCTACTGTAACAAATTACTACAAACTTAGTGGCTTGAAAACAATTTATTATCATACATTTCTTGAAGTCAGAAGTCTGAAATGGGTCTTTCTGGGCTAAAATCAGATGTTGGCAGAGTTGCACTTCTTCTGGAGGCTCTAGGGGAGAATCTGTTTCCTTTTTCCAGGTTTTAGAGGCTGCCTGCGTTCCTTGGTTTGTGGCTCCTTTCTTTCATCTTCAAAGCCAGTCATAGCCAGTCAAGTCCTTCTCACTTTGAATCACTCTGGATGTCTTCACATTCCCTCTTTCACTCTTAAGGATCCTTGTGATTTCCTTGGACTCACCTAGATAAGCCAGGATAATCTCTGTATTTTAAGGTCAGTTTATTAGTAAACTTAATTCCCCTTGGCCATGTGATTTAGCATAATCACAGGTTCTGGGTTGTTATTCTGCCTACCACAAAGACCTTGGTCCCTTGAGATGTTGGGACCTGAGGAAGCCCCTCCCACCTCCAGTAGCTAGGGGAAGTCTGTAGGCCAGGCAAACCTGGCCTGGGGTCACTTTTGGACAGTTTTGGTTTTTGCACCCTGGCAATGATCCAACAGAGAAAGAAAGACGATAAATGTAGTAAATTATTAGTATGTTAGAGGATGAGTGCTGTGGACAAGAAGAAAGATGCAAGGACAAGTAAGGAGGCCAGTGTGGGAGAGGGAGTCAGAGCAGTAGTAGAATGGGGATGGGGAGTAGATCACGTAGGACCTTGTTGGCCATTGTGAAGTCTTTAGTTTTTTTTACTGTGACTGGTATCAAAGGAGTGCTGTGATGTAACTTGACTTTTAAAAAGGATCACACTGGCAGTTGTATTAACTGAGAACAGACTGCAGTGGGGCAAGGGCACCAACACAGGGAAACGTGTTAGGAAGAGGCTATTCCAGGTAAGAGATGGTGGAGGCTCTTGTTCTAGTGTATATTTGCAGTATAGAGCATGTTCTTCAGTTGATAGACCTAAAGCATGACATTATGGAGCCACAGGCAGTTTAGCCTCACTAACCTCTGGATAGTTTTCTTATGAGGGTGAACTCAAAATAAGATTGTTCTGTGTAAAGCATTTGAATGTGGTGCCTGATACTCAGTAAATAATGGTTATTATTAATAGGAATGAATATTTGAATTCTTCATTTTGTCAGATCTTTAAAGTGGGAGCATGGACTCCTTTGTAAACATTAAAATACCAAATTTAGAGGACCATTCCTTGCAAGTCAGAGAGTCGAAGGCACTTAGAAGTACTTTTTTAGATGTGGTAGTAAACTTAGAAAACTATTCTGGACTGAGAGTATATATCGAGTCCAGCGACAGATTAACTGACCTACAGTGAGGTCCTAACAGCCTGAAACTTACAGCATTAACACCTTGGAAATGGCCATAAAGAAATACCAATATATGCAGCTATTTTATGCATTACTTAGCATTTTTTAAATTATAATGTTTTAGTATCAGGAGTACAAATGGTACAAAATGGCACATAATGTATCAATGGTACAAAAATCAATGGAAGTTTAATGTAGCAGGTAATAATGTTACACAAGAGAATTAAAAACTGAAGTAATGGTTTGTTTAAAATGTATAAAACCACATCTGAAAAACAATCATAAAAAATTCTAGTGTTGGGACTTCCCTGGTGGCATAGTGGTTAAGAATCCACCTGCCAGTGCAGGGGACACAGGTTCGATCCTCGATCCCTGGTCCAGGAAGATCCCACATGCTGTGGAGCAGCTGAGCCCGTGCGCCACAACTACTGAGCCTGTGCTCTAGAGCCTGCAAGCCACAACTGCTGAGCCCATGTGCCACAACTACTGAAGGCTGTGCGCCTAGAGCCCGTGCTCCACAACAAGAGAAGCCACCGCAATGAGAAGCCCGTGTACCACAACGAAGAGTAGCCCCCAACTAGAGAAAGCCGGCGCTCAGCAACAAAGATCCAACGCAGCCAAAAAAAAAAAAAAAAAAAAAAATTCTAGTGTGTAATCAGGGCAATAATGCACATATCTATAATGATTTTGTTACTTTATTTTGCTGTTTGAGAATATTGCACTGGCATTTATAAGAAATGTAATTTGTAACACAAAGCTGGGATTAACTTTTAATTTATATTATTCTGTCAGTATAATGGTTTGCAATAAACTCTGCTAATAAGGTACAGCTTTTAGCTGAACGATTGTAAATTGTTCATCTCCATGTTGTTTTTTGTTTGGCCACGGCATGCAGCATGAGGGATCTTAGCTCCCTGACCAGGGATGGAACCCATGCCCTCTGCAGTGGAAGCGCAGGGTCCAAACCACTGGACCGCCAGGGAATTTCCATGTTGATTTTTAAGCTGCAGGTTTGAATCTGTAATTAAGACTGAATTGCTGAATATAGTTGACATGCCTTCACTTAATTTTGAAGTAACCTGAATTAATTTATTGACTGAGATTGGGCTGAAAACATCCCAGTAAATCCAAGGGAATGATAATGATGTCATGTCAGGCTAATAAACACCATTTAGACAAAAACTAGTTTATAAATATTACTTGTGGATTTTCTTTTATACGTGAAGATTACTTCCTCCTCTTCTGCTTATCCTCCGCTTTTATTTGAATTGGGTCTTGTCTTCTTGTATACAGTGTCTGCTTATGCAGATAATTTCAGAATGTCTTACATTTTAACTTTTGTAGGGTCAGCTTTTGAAATACTTCAATCATGACGAAAAGAGAAGCAGAGGAGCTGATAGAAATTGAGATTGATGGAACAGAGAAACCAGAGTGCACAGAAGAAAGGTTGGTATTTTTTTAATTTACCACTTTTTATATTATCAACATGCCTAATTAAGAATGAAGCCAAGGGCTTCCCTGGTGGCGCAGTGGTTGAGAGTCTGCCTGCCGCTGCAGGGGACACGAGTTCGTGCCCTGGTCCGGGAAGATCCCACATGAGAGGCCACAACAGCGAGAGGCCCGCGTACCGCAAAAAAAAAAAAAAAAAAAGCCAAGTTCTTTTGGGGGCCTTTTTTTTTTTCCAACTGACCTCAGCATTTTGGGGGATAATGTATTGCCTTTTTCCTCAGACTTACTGGGTTTGTTGCTGGAAGGAAAAGATAGTTTTAAACTGAAGACAGTAATAAGCATAGCTGATAATGATCAAGCAATTGATTGTGAAGGTTTTTCCCCCTCGGGCACTGTTTGATTCCTTTCCTTTCCTTTCCTTGATCCTTTTTCCTTGATTCTTTTTCAGTGCTGATTACTTTTATTTCAGTAAGAGTTTAATCCACAGCCTGAACTAATTCAACAAATAACAGCTGTCTGGAGTACATGAATAAATGAGACTGTAACTTGCCCTTGTAGAGACTACCTTGTATTTGAGGAAACATACATCTGTATGAGCCATCACAGTACTAAGCATATAGAGAAGTGAAAGGTGTTAGTTTTTGGAATAGTAATAGAATATTACTTACTCCATTAAGGAAGGAGGGCAGTGGTAATGAGTTCAGAATCCAAGGAGAGAATATGGGTAAAAAATAGGGATTTGGGAGTCAAGAAGGTTGAGGAGGGTAATGGCTAATAGTCCTACTTTACTCTGTAAAGCAGGAGATAATATGCTGAAAGTAAAAGGACCTAAAGGGTAGTAGAAAACTGACATAGAGTAATGAAGGTTTAGAACAACTATGATGGGAATGGAGAAGATCACTAAAGTTGAGTAGGATGCTGAGTGTTGAGAGTGCAGCTGAGGTTAAAGACCTTAAATTTGTTTAAAATTGTATTTTATTGTGGGAAGTATATTTAACACAAGATCTACCCTCAATAAATTTTTAAGTGTGCAATACAGTATTGTCAACTGTAGGCATAATGTTGTTCAATGGATCTCTACAACTTATTCATCTTGCATAATTGAGATTTCATGTCAGTTAATTAGCAACTCCCCCATTTTTTCTGCGGTTACTTACGCCACCTCTTCTGCTCAGAGGAGACGTTTGGCTCTAGCTCAGAAGACAAACCCCAGTTTAGTGTCCTCCGTCCTGTCCTCTCCCACCATGCCCTGGCGCAGAAACATTTTCCTGACAGAAAAAGTCTAAGATACCTTGACATGACTGCCTGGGAGACCTTAAATTTTTAATGGAGCTTTTCAACATGTTCAATTATGCTATTTTCTCCAACAGAAGAAACAATAGGCTGCATGTCTTTCTTAATTTTCATACATATGCACATATAAATGTTTAGGTTGTGTGTGTATATGTACAAACATACATTTATTTATTTATTTATGTAGCACATTACCCCAGAACTTTGCAGCTTAAAGCACCCAACTGTTATTATCGCACAAAGTTTCTCAGAGTCCGGAACCTGGGGACAGTTTAGCTGGATGGCTTTGGCTCAGGGTACTTTGTGAGCTTGCAGTGAAGCTGTTCGTCTGGGCTACAGTCATCTGAAGAGCTGACTGAGGCTGGCATATCTGTTTCTGAGATCACTCATAAGACTGGTGACAGGACCGTTCGCTTCCTCACCACATGGGCTTCTTTCCGTGCAGGGCTGCTCATGACATGGCGGCTGGCTTTCCCTAAAGTAGATGGTCTGAGAGAGAGCCTTCGCCACAGTGTATTATTTTTAAATAACCTAATCTAAGAAGCAGTACATATATCACTCTTAGTCCTTAGTCCTTTGGTCACACAGTCCAACCTTGGTACAATTCGGGAGGGAACTATGAAAAGATGTGAATATTAGGAGGTAAGAATCATTTGGGCTATCTTGGAGACTGACATGCATATATTTATTTTTATATATACATACATACAAATGGTCCACAAAGTCTGAAGTTTTTACTGTTTGAACCCTTACAGAAAACCTTTGCTGATGTCTCATGTAAGATATTGGTAGTTACTGTGGTTGATAGTTACTGTTGACCTGGGGAGTAGCTATGTAAAGGGAGCAGTTATAGCTAGCTGTCTAGTTGTAGCAGATTGCTATGCAGAAATTTAGGTCCAGTGATGTGAGATCATCCGCACTTTCTCAAGGGAAATTGGTAATCAGATTTTTTATATGGATCTCCCAAGGTTTAAATGGTGGCAACAGAATATTAAAAAATGTTTTAAATGTTGAGCTCATGTAAAATAGGTCTTTAAAAGTCTGTGTTAAAGTGACATTTTAAAGATTATTGTTATGAAACAAAGAAAAATATAGCCCATTCTGCTATAACTGAAGAATTAGTAAAAATACTCACTTAGCCAAAAGACCCAATTACTTTACCTTAACAAATAGTAATAATAAGAATATGTTTACTATTATTTTAAAATAATCTTGGTTTTTTTCAGTCATGACTGTTCTCTTTTATAAATTTTAAAAGTTTTAAGAATTTAGGCTGAATACATTTAGTGAATATCATGTGTATATTGCATTATACTTGGAATTTATGTGAAAATGGAACTTGACAAATTTTAAATACATACTGTTTTTAACAACTGCAAATGAGATTTAAACCATATATAAATTAAACATGTCATGAAACTTGATTGAATTCTAGGTTTATCAATTCAGCAAATACTAACTGGTGCCTATTTTCTGTTTGGCCTCAAATAAGGATTCACAAAAGATATGTAGAATTATGTACCAGAGATTTTACCCTCAAGGAACTTTGTAGAATTCAAAGTATGAAATAATAATGCAAAAGAGCCCTTAGAGAGTTTTAAAGGAAAATTATAATTTTTTAAGGTGGATCTAGACTGATTATAACCAATAGTTTTCAGATTAGATTAAATGGAAAATATTTTTGATAACTTATATTTTCATGTCTTATAATTTACATTATTAAATTGTATTAATCTTGGGAAGAGAAATTGACTAGTAGAGATGGCATACAAGTTTTGAAGAGGCTTTATATATTCCTTTCTGAGCCTAAAATTCTTCAAAATAACTTGGAAATATAATATAAATGCAAATGTTTCTCCTTAAATATTGTATATGCAATATTTGTATGTGTATACACACATGCATACATATGTGTGTATATAATAAGGTGTATTTGAAAAGGTGCCTTAAATTTCAAGCTAGCATTTCTCTGTGCGATGTGATTCAGTATTAAGCTTGGCAACACTAGCTGGTGATGAGCCTACCACTGTGAAAGGTGTCTGTGCAGAAAGGAGTTTCAAAGGCCAGAAATGTGTTTTGGTGTTGAATTTTGTTTTCACCATATCATTGCATTAATATCCAGGGTAAGAATGTAATTGTTAACCATTATATTCTTTAACACTGGATCCTTTAACATTATATTCTTTAGCATTGTTGAACAAACCTACACTCCAGCTGAATGTGTAAGCCAGGCCATAGACATCAATGAGCCAATAGGCAATTTAAAGAAACTACTAGAACCAAGACTGCAGTGTTCTTTGGATGCTCATGAAATTTGCCTGCAAGATATCCAGGTATTATTTTTTTCTTTTTTGAGATTCGTATTTCAGCATTTATGTCTGCGTTAGAAATGTTTTGTTGTTGTTGTTGGCCTTTTCTCTCTAGCTGTAACCTTTTTCTCCATTTGACCTATATTATTATAAAATGTAAGCATTTAGAAGTAAAAAGAATTCGTTCAGAAAAATGTCCTCCACTTAAAATTATTTTTAAAAGATTAATAAATCAAACATTCTTTTTTTTACTTTGACAAATATAAAATGAGAAGTTTAAATACATTTTAATCAGAGCTTAAAACGTAGAGTAGTGAGAAACACATTGACCTTGGAAGCTGAAGAAGTGTGTCCTCACACCCTGTTTCTAACTTTTAACTTCTTTGTGCATCAGTCTCCTCATCTTTTAGAGATAATTTGACCAAATGATTTTACATTCCCTTCCATCTTTATTTGCTCCAGCAGTAAATTTTGGATAAGGATTTAAATACCAGTGTATATGTATATTTCTTGGAAATTACTGCAATAGGATTTTACCTGTGGTAGTATTATAATAACGCACTGTGATTGCAACATATTTATAGTCATGTTTTATGGTATTCTTTCAAGAAAAGGAGTATTTTTACAATGTGTATCAAAGGTAGTTGCCTAGATAGGATTGCTCAAATAGTTTCTCCAGACCTTCCTTGAACATATGAATAAGTACTAGAGGTGTATTCTGTTTTTTAAGACTATTTTATACTAATGTATATTATGTCATCTTTTGGATTGTTGGGTTTGTTTTCTTCTTTACTCCTACCCTCCCTGCCTTATAATATAGCTATTCCATATATTATAGAACTTTTGCCTTAGATTTTTAAAAATTCAAATCATCATATGTCTAATTTTAGATCAGATTTTGATGTAGAATAAGTTGAAATTTTAATGAAATTTGTGAATTTTAGTTGCCCTTTTAACCATACTTTTTTTTTCAGCAAGTCTAATAAATGTTGGGGGAGGAGGGAAGTTGTTCTTCTAAAGAGAACATAGGTGGCTCTAATATTATAATTTTAGGATTTAAGGTTTCACTTCTCTCAACAGTGAGAATTTGGTAAATTAACATAATCTTTTTGGAAGGTAACTTGGCATTTAGTGTCTGTTAATGTTGAATGTGAAATATCTAGCAGTTTCTCCTCAAGGAATTGTTCTTAAAGAAATGCTTACCTCAGTGAGCAAAGGTGTATATTGCATGGTTGTGCAGAAACTGAAAATATCTCAAATGATCCAAAAATAGGGAATTAGATAAATTCTATAGATTGGAATTCAAGGCAGCCATTAAAAAATGGTGAACTAGAGCTATATGGGCAGTTTAGATTGAATGAAAAAATACTTGCAAAACATTTCTAAATTATCTCATTCTTCACATCAGTGTTTGAAGTCAGGATATTCTTAATCACATTTTGCAGATGTAGCAACTGAGATTTAAAGAAAGTAAATAATTTGCCCAATGCATAGCTACAAAGGGATGCATTGGAATGTGAACCCAGGCCTGTGTGACTCTAAAACTCTTCACTTGTTTGAGGCTGACTTTTTAATAAAGTTTTTATTGAATAATTCATTATCACTGGACTTGACCTGTTTTTTTCTCATATGTAAAATTAAGGAGACAAAGAGGGAAGAGATATGGGAACATATATATATGTATAACTGACTCACTCTGTTATAAAGCAGAAACTAACACACCATTGTAAAGCAATTATACCCCAATAAAGATGTTAAAAAAATAATAAAATAAATAAAATAAAATTAAGGGACTCAATCTGGACTCAATCTCTTACTTGTTTTTTAGCTCTGATATTTGTTGCTGCTCTTATAATACCTGACCTAACCAAAACGAAAGTAACACCTGCAAAGTACCCAGCCTATCATAGAATCTCAATATATATTGGTAGAATAAATGGAAATATGCATAATTTATAGTATCATAGAATTCAGAGCTGGCCTTGCATCTAGGACATTTTGGATTTCTTCCTGTCCCCCTCCCCCTTCTCCTCCTCAAAAAGGATCTGAGGATAGTAACTTCTGTTCTCCATGTCAATTAATGCAAATATACAGTTGGAGTCAGAACGCTTGCTGCTTGTGGTAATGCTTTTGTATTTTCAGATGAGTGCTGACTTCAGAGCTGATGAACAACAGTTGAGTTGCACTTCTCTAAGGAATATGACCTGAGATCAAATTTCATGCTTGAGTTTTGTCCTTGTGCCAGCTCTTAACTGAACTAGCTAGAGTGTCCAGTACCTGAGAGCCCTCTTCAGAGTTACACAGGCTTTAGCTTCTAGTAGATAATACCAATGTCTACTGGAGAGGGGAGAAATCTTGCTATGAGGAGAATTTTTAACAAAATGTCAGGCAGAGACTATTGTCTTAAGGAGTGAAGCTGCCACGTTTGACCTGTCCGAGTGTAGGGTTACAAAGTTTGTCTTGTCTCTGTTTAAGTTAGATGCATAGTCACTTAAGATTTTAGGCTTTATGTGTATGATGTTTTTAATATTAGAAAATATGTTTGTACCATGACTACAGTATTGGCTGAATTCTTGGGAATGAGAGTGGGAGGAACTTTGTACCTCCAGCTGTATGATATGCAGACACAGATATACACATTATTCAAAATAATTACAACAGAAGCCTGTTTTTAAATGGGTGACAAAATGTCTAGAAGTCAATTACTTTTTGCCATTTGTGTGAAATGTATTCAAAAGCACTGATACTGAAAGATACTGAAAGGATACACAATTATGATTAAAGATATTCATAGCTAGGTCAAGTAGTAAGGATATAAGTCCTTTAACTTCATTAACTTTATGATCAGAAATTTAGAGTTAACCCTGATCTTAAATGTGTAGCATTGGTTACAAGGGAGATATGGCAAGAATTACGTAAATAAATTTATATAAATTGTCCCCACTAATAAAACACCCTTGCTTATTCATGGCAGATAAACAGCATTATCTTCTACTTTAAATACTTTTACAGAAAAAATAATTGCCTTTGGCATTATTTAAAATTCTAAACTAGACTCCAGAGCTAGAGAAAACCACCACTTACAATAAATCCTGTCGTTTGTGTTGTCCTTAATTGCTACCACAGTGGTTAAGTTATTTTCAGTTTTGGCAAAGAATTAAATGATAGGACAACTTGAATAATTAAACGTGTTCTGTAACTTAATTAGTATGCCTCAGTAATTAAGTCCTGTTTGGCACATCCATTTATATTAAACAAGATGACCGAGCTAAAATAATCTTAATCATTTTATCCATGTTTAGCTGGATCCAGAACGAAGTTTATTTGACCAAGGAGTAAAGACAGACGGAACTGTACAGCTTAGTGTACAGGTAATTTCTTACCAAGGTAAGTTACTTTTAATGTTGTTACTTAAAAGTTTAGATCATGTTTTTCTAATATGAGAACTCAATTTTATAAGTTTTAGATGGTTGTCTAAGTTAGTTAATGTGATGTTATAGCCAAATATTCATGCTTTTGATTTAATTGTTTTATCTGTCAGGATGAAGCAGATAGTATAACACATTCTACCTACTTTAGTCAGGAAAGGGTATATTACAGGGTTGTAAATAACAGGATCACAGGGAGGGCTGAAAGAACAGGTTCTAGTTGACTTTCTAAGAATGCCTCAGCCACTCTGTAGAACTGGACTGCCAAGGAAGCTGCTGCTCTGCCGGGATCTGGAAAATGCCAAATCTGAAAGCCACAACTATAGCTGTCGACTTGGAACCATGCTGCCTTTTCAGTGATTCACATTAGCCAAAAAATGGATGCCGTGTTCTTGCTTGTCCCCTCTTAACTCATCTCCAAATAGAACTCTCATGGCAGTGATTCTAGAACCTAAATCACATCTGCAGCCGTAGCTGCAAGGACATGTATAGTCTCTGCAGTTTAGCACAGAGAGAGGAATTTGCAAAGGATGTGATGTGACCCAGTCAGCCATATCCATCACAGTATTTTACTAATCTGTGTAAATACACGTTAGAAAATTAGGAAACCATTTTTGGTGGGTTGAATTTTAGTTTTTTCAAATGTGGCTTTTTGGGATTTCTAACCAGAGTTTTAGACTAATTTTCATCTCTGAACATATTGTATTGCTTACAATTATGTTTCACAAACCAAAGTTTTCTTCACATTATGAAAATGGTAATTACGTACTTATGATCCTTAATTTCCCCAGGATTTACTATTGCTGGGAATAGGAAAGAAAATCAATCTTTGTTTTTTATCTTTAAAAGTTTAGTGACCTCTCAGTATAGGTGTGTTTTAAGAAGTGTTGACTTGATGCAGTTTGAATGGAGGATTAGGGGATAATTTTTAGGAAAAATCTTCTTCAAAAATTATAATTTTTTTCCTCATGTGTATTTGAAAGAACTGACTTCTGTTTACACCACCTGATGAGTGATAGCTGTATATTTTCTTGTAATAATGATTTTCCTGATTGAACTTCAGAATATTGAAATTGAGTTTTGTTTTTTCTTTCAAATACACTTTGATTAAATTTTTGATATAGATTGTAACAATCAGTGAGCAAACAGTAGCTGTTAAGTAGTATGATAGTTTTTTAGAGCTGTTATTTTAACATAAGTATCTGAGATTATTTCATAAAGGGCTAGTTTATTCTATTTTGAATATCTTAAGTATTTGGGTTTTTCATCCTTCAGTTGAAAATGAAAATCAGAATTTAATGATGTGAATTTAATGTAACAAACTTAGTGTCTATTCATTTTTAATGCATGTACTTTGTCTTCTAAAAAGAAAAGGAGTCAGTAAATAATTTTAATTTTTTCAACTTCTCAGGATAAGTAGCTACTCATTTATACTCTCCATAGTGTAGTTTTAATTTTCTATTCCATAGTGGTACTTTTTTTCCTAATGTTTGTAGGTGGGGTGTGTGTGTGCTTGCATGCATGCATGTGTGTATATATGCATGGTGGTGGTGGTATTCTTAAATTATTTTAGACTTAGAGAAGAGTTGCAAGTGTAGTAAAAGAATTCCTGGATATCCTTCACCCAGATTCCCCAAATGTTAACTTTTACTATGTTTGCTTTATTCTCTCTCTCCCTCATCCCCACATTATTTTTTTGACCTGGTTAAGAATGAGATATAGACATTATTCCTTCCTATCTCTAAATACGTTAGTGTGTTTTCCGAAAACAAGAAATTCTTTTGCATGACCACAGTTTAGTTATCAAAATGAGGAAATTAATATTGGTACAGTACTGTTATCTAATCTATCATAGTTCTGTTGAATTGTTGTTTTTATCATTTAATAGAAATCTGTTTAAATTCTCTAGACATAATGCTAAAAATATTTAAAATGGAGCCTTGCTCTACCATTTGAGAACATATAAACTAAACTAAATTTTTATTTGTTAGAGACTTTCGTGTTTTCACTTAGATATACTTGTTTTCTTTTTCATCACTGATAAGGAATTGAACCAAAGCTGAACATCCTGGAAATTGTTAAACCTGCGGAAACAGTTGAAGTAGTTATTGATCCAGATGCCCACCATGCCGAAGCAGAAGCACATCTTGTTGAGGAAGCTCAAGTGATAACTCTTGATGGCACAAAACACATTACAACCATTTCAGATGAAACCTCAGAACAAGTGACGAGATGGGCTGCTGCTCTGGAAGGTTATAGGAAAGAGCAAGAACGTCTTGGGATACCCTATGGTAATAAAATACATAATAATTATGTTAGATAGAATAATAAGAATTAAGCTTGACACATGAAAGACATAATAATTATGTTAGGTAGAATAATAAGAAGTAAGCTTGACATGAAAGACAGTAGGGTGAGTAGATTATCTATCTTAAATGTAGAAATTTTAGGAAATATATTGATTTTCTTTGGTTTTGTTTTTGGTTTTTTTGGACTGTAACATATGATGGTGCTGGGAATACAAAGATACAAAGAAAAAAATCTGCCCTTAGGGCATTCACAATGTAGTTGAAGAGAGAGAAGATAAATGAAAAAAGATAATTGCTATAAACGTAACATGTTTTTAAGCTGTCAATAACTGGTATAAAGAAACATAAGAAACATACTATTAGAATCTCAAAAGGATCATAGTGGTCTGGGGGAAAATTGGGAAAGAATTTATTATAGACAAGGAAACCGCTAGACATTGCCGACAGGAAATGTTTGTGCAAAGCTGAGAAGTGTGAGTAGTGAGAAGATGCATTGGGTAAGGAGTTATTCTGTAAGCATTGTAGAACTGTTTTGCGGTACGCGGGCCTCTCACTGTCGTGGCCTCCCCCGTTGCGGAGCACAGGCTCCGGACGCGCATGCTCAGCGGCCATGGCTCACGGGCCCAGTCGGTCTGCAGCATGTGGGATCTTCCCAGCCTGGGGCACGAACCCATGTCCGCTGCATCGGCAGGCGGACTCTCAACCACTGTGCCACCAGGGAAGCCCTGTAGAACTGCTTTTGATTGATGGAAGTGACAGTTGAAAATGAATGTGGCAGTGGTATATGGCATGTTGGAGCAGGTAGTTTGGGTGTGACTAGGTGATAATATTTAGGTTAGCCTAGACCAGGTGATTTCTGTGGGAGCAGAAAGGAGGAGATGAGTCAAAATAGTGATGGGACTGAGCAACTGATTGATGGATTGTGTGAGGGTAGAGAGGGGAGATTCAAGTATTGATCTAACTTCTCAAGCTTGGGTGACTAGGCAATAATAATATAAGAATTGGTTACATCTTTATTACATATTTCCTGAGCTAGGCACCATGTTAAATTCTGGGCTTTCAGTAGTGCACAGGAAAGATAGTCCATGCCTTCTAAACCTTAGTGGGGAAGGTAAGAAAGTCTGGTATTGGAAAGATTTTTCAAGGGAAAGTGTTGATTGTACTTGATTTTCAAGTAATAGTACAAATTCAACTGGAGGTCACCAGAAAGTAGTTTCAGGTGCACAAAATTTGGCCTGGAGATAAAGATGTTATCTGGGACTCAGTCACATTGAATTTGTTAAAGTCATTACAAGTAGATGCAGTCTCTGACGAAGAGAGATAAAATGGAAGAGAACATAATGCTGGACCTTGTCAACATTTAGGGTTGAGGAACAGGAAGTGGGGGAGACATGGAAAGCTTAACGGATAGAAGGAAAATAAGAACTGTATATAGTGCTGATGAAATTGGGGAAGAGTTTTAGATGGTCACAAGTCTCGACACTGCTGAGAAAGTCAAAGAATGCTGACTGAGTAATATCTACTACATTTGGTCATTAGAGGCTCATTGGTAGATTTAGATAAAAGCAGCTGCTGAGTTGGAGCAACAAAGGTGAATTATAAGAACTAAATAAACATTGTAGAAATGGAGAAAATTGAGTATTAATTTGGGGAGGGCAGGTGGGAAGAATGCTGGGGTAATAAATAAATAATATTGAATGTTCAAGAGTTGGTGGTGACCTGAGTGTATTTGTAGATAAATGGTGTGGAACTAGTGGGAGAAGGAAAGATTAAAGAAGCAAGGATAGGAGTTATTCATAACAAGATAAAAGAGTCCAGTTTGAAGGATGAGACCTAAGCCATTCCTCAAAGAATAAGAAAGCTGTTAAGACCAAGTCTAGTGGCAGTGTGGATCTTCTCATTTGCTGTCAATTTCGGGTTTTCTGTATAGCATCTCAGTCTGGCCCTGTGCTGCCCAGTGCCGTGGTCACCAGTCCCATGTGAGCGCTTGAAATATGCCTGGTCTGAATTGAGATATGCTGTAAGAGTAAAACACCCAGTACAAAAGGAAAAGAATGTAAAATCTTATAAATTTTTTACCTAGATTACATGTTGAAATGAAAACATTTGGATGTATTAAGTGAAATTATTATCAAAACGAATTTCATCTGTTTCTTTACCTGTTTAATGTAGCCATTAGAAAATTTTAAAGTTACATAGTGGCCTGCATTATGTTGGACAGTGCTGATCTAGACAATTTCTGCCTTCAGTACTGGGGAGTTTTCCTTCATTATTATTTTGATAATAATCTTCTGTGTTTCTCTGTTCTTTTTCTAGAGCTCCTATCGAATCTCCTGGGTTGATCCTCTACATCTTTTTTCTTCCTTATTTTTCATCTTCATATCTGTACTACTTTCTGCCAAATTTTCTTGTCTTTTTTTAAAAAATTATATATTGTTTTTTTATTTATTTATGGCTGTGTTGGGTCTTTGTTGCTGAGTGCGGGCTTTTCTCTAGTTGCGGCAAGTGGGGGCCACTCTTCGTTGTGGTGCGCGGGCTTCTCATTGCAGTGGCTTCTCTTGTGGGCGGAGCACAGGCTCTAGGCGCGTGGGCTTCAATTAGTTGTGGCACACAAGCTCAGTAGTTGTGGCTCGCAGGCTCAGTAATTGTGGTGCACGGGCTTAGTTGCTCCGCGGCATGTGGGGTCTTCCCGGACCAGGGCTCGAACCTGTGTCCCCTGCATTGGCAGGAGGATTCTTAACCACTGAGCCACCAAGGAAGTCCCTTTCTTGTGTTTATATTGCAACCTGATTTTTATTTTCAATTTACAAGGGCTATTTATTTTGGTTGTTACCTTTCCATAGCATTCTGATCCTATATTACAGATATCATGTTTTCTCTCCTCTCTATGTTGATTACAGTGAAGTGGGGGGTTATTATTATTTTGTTGTTGTTTGCAGTTTGTTATTGCATTATTTCTGCTTCCTCTGGGTTCTGTTTTTCTGTTTATTTTTGGTCATCTAGTGGTTTCCTTTTCGTCTCTCAAATATCTGATTATTTTTGACCATCTGTTCATATTTAAGAGTGAATAACTTTAAAGCTAATTAGTTTGAAGTCTGGAAGGAGTTTGTTGACTATGCTGGTAAAATGGGGTGTTGGTCATTTTATTAAAAGATTTTCAAGTGTCAGCATGTATAGATCTTTTTCCTGGGTCTCCCAACTTCTCTGGAAAATTGGCTAAACACCTGTCAGGAGTAGAAGGTTGGGGTGAGGATTTAGGGTTGATGTGTCTGTGTGAATGTTGCATTCTGGAAGTGGAAAGGGAAGTGGAGTGGGTGGAGAGGGTCTCATTCTTTGGTTTGTAGACTGGTCTAAAGTGTTCCTGGTGCCTACGTGGTGGGGAGATGCTTCCATTTCTGTCGTTTCCCACTCATGTTCCTGTGAGTTTACATCTTTCAGAAGTTTCTTTAGTATCATTTTACTAAGGACTTAGAGAAAAGAGGCAGGGAGAACATGCATGGCAATTAGTTATGTTAAACTAGAAGACCTGATATTATTTAAGAAAACAAGGCAGACTATTTCCCCCCCCCCCTTTTTTTTTTTTTTTTTTTTTTTTTTTTTTTTTTTCCTTGCGTTATGCGGGCCTCTCACTGTTGTGGCCTCTCCCATTT